TTGGCTGACTGACTTTATTAACAGCAAGCTGATAGAAATAGAAATCATACCCCGATATTTTGTCACTAACCATTTATAGCAAGGAACTCTTAGCTATCCTTATGCTTCTCTTCTTGTCTAACTGGAATACCACAGTAGCAAGGACCCACTCATTTTAGAAGCCATGGACCTCATCATGATGTGGAAGAACCCTCTCCATCAGTTGGCAGTAAGATCATCTGAGAAGCAGGAGCCTGGCTGTGGCTTCCAGCATGCATTATAATAGCACTAGAAACAATTGCTGGCAAGACATTTCTACGAACATGCAAAGATTTCTGTTCCTTCCACATGCGACAATATGTGATACTCGGGCTTCTGATTTGGCAGTACCAACAATGCAGCTGAAGGCTATTCTGTTTTCGGGATGGACAAGCACAGATGATGATCAAGGCAACTGAGGAGAGCAGATGCAGAAAATTAGCTTGAAAGCCCAAGAGCAGCCTTCTGCAATCAACATGAGCATGGCCAGCCAACAAGGAGGTGGATGTGACTGGAATTCAGAACGACTTGAGGGAGTGCAGGACACAGCTGAGGTGGGTTGCAGGTCTCAGAGAACAAAGGTTAAAGCAGGTCAGGAGCTGATCCTTTTAAAATTAGTGTATGTAAGAAAAGGAGTGTGTAACGCTTCCCTCAAGTTCTCACTTCAAATCAGCACCTAAATCATGGTCCCTTTTGCTGTATTACATTGTAATGAATAATTTCTATTTTAAGAGTATCTTTAGAAAGAAGAGCTGGAAACTCTTGCACTGTTAGCACTCACCCCTTCGTGTTCATACAGGTCTGGGGAGTCTGAGCAGTCGTACATTATGCCTTCTCAAGCTCTTCAGCCTTCTCCAAACCTTTTTTAAGAGAATCACAGCCAATTTTCTCCTTTTTATTGTCTGTGCAAAGTTGCACATCTTCTTCCTGCCAGATGTGCAAGTATATAATCCACCAAGCCATTTTTTATTTAGTAAGAAATGGGTGGTTTTGGAAGTCTTCACTAGACTTGCTGCTGCACCGTGGATGACCAAGTTCAGGGATTCCTCTGAATGGGAAGTCGTCAACATCTGAGGCCAAATTTCCTGATATGTTCAGATTTACTCAACATTTAGTTGCAAGATGGGGCCAAGAACCTCATAATGCTGCCTAAGTCTGCCGTGGGCTGCTGCTGCTGCGAGTGCAAGAACATCAACCTTGGGAAGAGGGTGCGCGTCATTCCTGTGGTATCTTTGCTGCTGCGTAGAGTAGTTGGTACGGTCAGAGAGGAAGTGAAAGGCTTTGTCAAAATCCATAGACATTTTCCTTATGATAGATATGCTTCATTAATCAAGGTGAGAAACGGCCTTTAAGAGCTTCATTTCCTGTGTGGCAGGCTACTGTGTAATAGGGTGCTTCAGGGTAGAATATCAGAATTTTTCATCAGTGTGTCATGTACTACAGCAAGCATTTTTCCTTGTACACGGGCCAGTGACACAAGAAAGAAGTGTATAAAAGCTTAAAATCGTAGTACAAAAGCTGATCCAGGGGACAGCGTTGGCCTCTGCCTGCGGCCATGGTTAGAAGGTTGTTTTAATCCAGCATCACGTGTACAGCAGCCGAGGACGTTCATTCACCGCCCTGTGGTGTCTCCCTCCAGCATTAGCGTTTGTGGGGCCAGGCAGTAAGCTGGGTTACTGAGAACTAACCAGATGCTTTTCTTGGGTGAAGTCTCAGCCGGTTTGGTTCCTGAGGTGGCTCTCTGCGTGGCTCCCCTAATGCCACCCGCGACACAAAGCAGGCCACAGCAAACCACAGCCAGAAGTGGGGAGGGGTGAGGGCAGGGGCGGGAAAGTGGCGGCAGGTCGGCACTTTTCCATGGCAACTGGGATTTCCATTAAATAACAGTGACTTAAGTTGTGAGATCGGGAGACTTCAGTTTGTTTCAGCCACAGATTTACTGGATGAGCTCAAACAAGTTGCTAAATCTTCTCTTTTTTCAAAGTTCTCAATTTAAAATTAAGGGACATAAATCTGCCCTAACAGGGTAATTGTGATTATTTACTTTGTTGGGTCAGGCTCTTATAAAATACATTGATATAAATTAAAATACACAGATGGGTTTTGCCCATTTCCTTTAATTTTTGAAAACAAGTAAGTAGATGAAATTTTGTGCCTTTCAAAACCAAACAGAATCCTTCTTTGTGTAAAATGGTACATAAACCTTAGCGGTTGTTCATTTTTATTGCATTGTTTTTAATAATACTCCAGATAATTCAGAAAAGGGCAATATTTTTTCTACTGCATAAAAAAATTATCATGATATAGTTGGGTTTTGCATTTCCCCCTTTGTATTGCTTCAAAAAACAAAACACAAATACTATGAAGAAATTTTCCCTCCCACGTCCCTCCCCATAAAAGAAAAATATTTTTTTAAAAATCAGTGAAGTGTTAAGTCAGATATTAAATGCACACATTTACAAGCACAGCACATTAGTAATACTGTATAATACTTAAGACCATGCCAATCCATATGTATGTGTATAAAGCTACAGGTGAAATGGTTCATAGCAGCAGAATAGGAAGCATGTTCCACACAAAGTACATCGTTCCTGTGGAGATGTTTGGATGAGTACAACAAAGTACACTGACAAGCTAAAATGCACAAGTCAATTTGTCCTGCTACAGCAGTGCGTGTTACGATTCAAAGGGCAATCTTGACTTGTCTGGGAGTTTTGTTTCATGTCTAATGGCCAGCTGAGTGGTGTGAGTTCCGCCTTTTGGCACACTTTACTGTAAATGTTCACGAGGAGTCCTGATTGCTGAAGAGAACTTCACTGAAATCAAGGCTAAGGGCCAAGTAACCTAACAGTGCATCTACATTCACACATCCTTCACCGACAGGAAAATGTGTTGACGTTGACTCTGGGAGGGAACATAATCCATCCCAAGGCCCAGATGTGGCTTTGGCCTTAGTTCTGCAACTCTGGTAGGTGGAAAGAAAGACCAGGAAGGGACACTGGATTAGAAATATTTATGACTCATTGGTGCTTCCAAAAATGATAATTTCTAGGTTTTGGAGTGGGCATTTTTTCAATGTCAATACGTAACTTTGAGTTGCTTCGTTGTATTTTCTGTATTTGAGTTACATAACTCAATCTGTCTGGGAGCATGGCTCTTCCAGGAGTATCATTTTCCAATGGGACTGTGGTTTTCACTGGTAACCTCCCGTCCTGGATGCCAAGCTGAAGTCTCCCTCTGAGGGAGGCCAGCATTCACAAGGTGGTGGTTCTGTACCTTCGTAAGGCCAGGCCCCTGCCAAGTGTCCTTTCCTAAGCACCTGCCAATGGAGACATGCAAAGGCAAGCAGGACTTAAAGTATCTGAAGTAGAATTGTGGCAGAGAAGCTCTCTCCCAGACTTCCACCTTACCACATGAAAAATACAAATAAGGTCAAGTAAAAGTAAGTAGATCTATTAGATTTAATGATGTGCCTTGAGACAAAGTGATTCTATGAAAATGCTTTTTTAAAAGGTAACCATAAAATCTCAAAGACATACTGGCTACGTGTACAGTTTTACGTACTACTGAGATATAGTTAGTGACTTCTAGTGAAATTTTTCCTCTGTAGAAGGCCAGCAGCCACTTCTGTTTCTAATAACTCCAGATGCTGGTATCTGAGCTTTGGCGATTTTGAATTGCAGAGAAGACCGCAGATTTTATCATATTTCTTCTGAGCTGTCTTAGGCTGTTGCTTGTCAAATACTGTGCAGTGTAGTACAGTATTCCTCCACAGGTTTCTCATACAACCATTAAATAAAAACAGGACAAAATAAATTGTCCAGAACAAATAATAGGGTTTGGAATACTGGCAGAAGAAAAAAACCAAACAACCCCAAAAAGAGATAGTCTAGGGATTTTGATAATAGGAGTAGCATTTGCATACCTCATGGGAACAACCATCCATCAGCTGGATTCACATACAAAATCTCTTTTAAATCAGAGGGAGTCGGTTCATACAACTGATAGAATACAAAGGCTTGATCTCACAAACCCAGTACAGCTCCCTTTGCGAAACAGAGAGGTCACGACAACCCTGTCTTAATTCCTTCACCTGCACCATATATAAATTACCTCCTGAACTCTTGTAGAGATGAAGGACCAGTTACTCTAGCCTCCATAGCATTCAGGGTAGAGCAATCAGGGCCTAATCTGAGAATACCGAGAAAGTACCTTGAAGATGAGAAGAGCTATATAGTGCTAAACATTGTCATTACAGGATCCTGATTTCTTTGGAGGGGAATGAATAGATGTAGAGACAGACAGACAGACTGGCAAACAGATAAAGAGACAAGACAGAGAGGCCAAGGCATGCAGAGCTCTAAACCTGCTCTTTTTTTCCTCAGAACATCTCCACATATAGAAAGTAACCTTGATCTCCTCTTGTACAAGCATAGACAAACACCTTTCACTTCAGGGGATGGGAAGTGTCAACCAAAATGGAGTGCTGGCCGCCCAGACACTGAAGAAAATGAAAAAGCTTTAGCAGTCTCCTGAAGCAGTACACATCATCTTAGAGACCATTAACTTACAAGAGCTGCAAAATTAATAGTGCTTAAGAAATATTCTCTCTCCAACCTCCAGAAAAACAGCGACTCAGAAGTGGGCCCATTCCAGCACATTTTTAGACCTGTTGAAGCAAAAGGAGGGTGGAGGGAAGGCGGTAAGAGCAGCTGAGGTGGTGCTTCCTGGCGGCTTCATAAAACTTGCCCCGAAAGAAGAGCTCTGTTAGGTGCAAACTCCGTCCTGCAGCTGCCCTGGCTGAGGGAAAGGCTGAATCGCACACAGCCTGGTGCAAAAGCCGCCGGCCCCAGCTGGAAAAACCCCCTCTGATTTCAGCGGGCTTTGGATACAGCCCACATTCAGACAGTGACATGCAACAGCAGTTATAAGTCATGCCCCCATCCCCTCACAGTTTCTTCCGATATAAACAAAAGGACATTCTGGTCCCCTTTATATACATATATTAGAAGCTGAAATGGTCTGAAATGCTTACAGGTTAGAATGCGTGTATCGATACAACATTACACCTGCCAGAAATCAAAGTAGAAAAGTTTTACAGCACATTATACAGGTCCCTCTAACTTCTAAAAAAACATTTACTGAAATCACCATATTACAAGAAGGCATCACTAACATAACATATAATACTATTTCTTTTTCTTTTACATAATCATTACTTATATAGTACTTTAAAAAAACACTTTTAAACAAGTATACAATTTTCACTTTAAAATTAACTGGTTAATAAAATTTTGTGCAAAACAAGCCAGCCTCTATAATTAAGTGAATTTATTTATTTATTTATAAAAAAAAATAAAACAAAAAAGATAGTTCTTTCAGAAATGTGTCTCCTTTTCTGTAATGGTTGAAATGGTGCCATCTCCTTTCAGTTTGGCGTCGCAGTCATTTATTGCTGCAATGTAGGCTCCTCCTCCAAGTTTCCCTCTCATTTTCAGATCTGAGCTAGGTGTAATCAACTTCCTGAATTTCTAGAAAATTTGAGAAAATGGAAATCATTATATTGTTTTTGGTCACAGACACACATTTCTTAAACACGTTGACTATAACAGCCTCTTCTCTTGCATGTCTGCTGCTTATTTCCCTGTTACAGTACACCCATAAAACTGCATGCCACGCAGTTCTTTACAAATCACAGCAGGCCAAAGGCTAGAGAATGAAGGCAAAGACAAAGTCAAAGTGAATTTTTGTGCTGATTTAGAGTAACATTCCCTTCTGTGAAGAAATTCCACACAATCCTCGGGGTAAGGCCTGTTACATGGGTACATTTTGTTTCTCACGGTATGGTCAAAGGATATATGCTGAAAAAATAAACAAACAAGAGACTGCCAAAGTGTATTAAGCTACAATAAAGAGCAAACGAAAAATATAAGTGTTCAGCTGAGAACTTTCTCTCTTACAGCAATAACATCAGTAGCAACGTTGCTGCTCACAGCATGGAGAGCAGAGATGTTGCAGGAAGTTGGCTTCCTGATAATCTCCCATCTGTAATTAAAATCCCCTCTTATCGTTCCTGTACAGAAAAGATAATGACTAGTCTGCACTGCTTCAGATTACAAGGCAATGCAAAACAAAATTCTATTTAAAAAGTCTATTTACTTGCAGAGACAGGGTAAGGTTGATGCATTAAGGAAACATTAAATGTTAAGATTTGTGCAAAACTTCCTCTTTTGCCATGCTAAGAAAACTATATTATGGACAATTCATTTTTTGTTTTATATACACACAGTAAAGAATTCCTAGGTAATCTCCAGACCATATTTAATCAGTTTAATGGAGTCATTTCAATATGGACTGCCACCAGCCAGCACAAGAAGTTGCACATTAGCTTCTCCGTTCAAGAAAGCAGTAACTATTACATTGAGATATATACATATATTCAGATGTCAGACTCTTTGGTTCTGAATGGAGGATAATTCTGAAAATGTGGGTATACGCTGAGAGGTCTTTCAAAAGTGTTAGACAAGTTAATGAGCCTCAGGTACCTCAGACATATAAATTCCTACTGTCTTGTTCTTCACATTGGCATTATCCTAGAGAACATCAGAAAGACTGAGAAAGCATGAAAGGGACTGAATAAAGTCCCCTCCATATATGTATTGAGATATATCCCAGGCAATACTGGGATACCTACATTTACTGCCTAGTATCTAAGGTACTCCAGGTGACAGAACCAGGCTTTTTTGCAATATAAGAAATCCCAAATGACCAAATAAGATTTATATTCTCGTTTCTTCCATTATAGCCATCTTCACTGTCTTTCTTTGGATAAAAGATCTTATATTTAATAACCTTAACCTTTGCCTAGACCTGAGATAACCTGATACCAAATGTTAGTAAATTGCGCTGAGTATTTCTTTTTGCCTCTATGTCTCACTTAGAGAACTGTAATCAGGAAAAGTGTCCAGAAGACATATGTGAGTGTTTGCTACCCAGCTCCTGGAGGAAAACCCTGGCAGTACAAACATTAGTTACCAAAACCATGGAAAGAAGGCAGCTGACCTGAATGAATGTCTGGTACAAACCTTCTTGAGGGATTTAGCTGATGTTACAGACAATTTAAGCTTCAAATTGAGTTGGAACAGAGCACCTTAAAGCTATAGTATTGGTTAGTTTACCACAGGCTGAAGTCGGTGAAGGAGGAAAAAAAAAAAAAAAAAAAAGAAATTCAGAAGTTTTGCCCAGGGAAGTGGTGGAGTCACCATACCTAGAGGTATTAAAAGACGTGTAGACGTGGCGCTTAGGGACATGGTTTAGTGGTGGACTTGGCAGTGTTAGATTTACAGATGGACTTGATAATCAAAGGTTTTTTCCAACCTAAACGATTCTGTGATTCCAAGAAAATAGAGAAAATTCAGATGCCTCTTTCCACCAGTGACTGGGAGGCCTAGCCCCAGCTGCCACTGGAACAGGTACGTGGCATTGCTTTTTTGATTAAACTGTGCTTAGTCTCATTCAGGTGAGGATTCACACTCCCTTCCCACTTCTTTTTTCAGTATCATTAATCTGAAAATATATCTTACCTCTATGAAAGTGCCTTCTGTCTTCCACAGCTTAATGCAGATCCACAAAGGGATACAGATCATGGAAGAGAGGGCCATCATCCACCCTATGCCATAGCCCCAGTCAGGGTATATATATACATTGTTGTATTTCAAAGGCTTGTATTTCACCAGGAAAAAGATGAAGATTCCCTGAAATAAGCAGAGAAACATATTAGCAGTATTTGAAAAAACACTGCCTATGTAACAGGAAAATGATTGCCTATTCAGGCAAGGCCTGTCTCCCTAAAGATGGTAAGTAGAGGTAAGCTTTTCAGTCAGAGAAAAAAAAACAACCAGCATTATCTTCTTTTACGTACAGCTTAAATAACGTGCCTCAGTACTTTCCACAGAAATGAACAACCTTTCAAGTTTAAATCCTATTTACCTCTCGGTGACAATAAAATCTGTACTTTGATGGCAAACAGTACCTGGGTAGGAAAGATTAAGTTTTGCTACCATGAACCAGCTGTGATTAAGTAACACAAGCTGTGTTCTTTCCAACCTGTCATGATAAAAAAGGAAAGCCAAAATTTTCGAAGTTGCCTTAATCCACTGTCTGTATCTGTAGTTCTGCAGGCCAACTCTTTCATCCTCCCAAAAGCTCAAATATATCTGTCTAAATTTTACAGGTGTCTAATCAAGCAGTTTGGACCATTTAAATTTATGAAATACAAAAAAGTTACTACGTACTTTTCTTCAAAGTGGTGAAAAGAGTGTACACGAGCAAATGGTATTAAATTCATTTCAGAGCTGGTGAAAATGAGTCCGAAATTTTCCCAAGTTTGCAAATGAACTGGCAGAGCTCAAGGGAACCTGGATCTCCAGGTGCCCCAGCATCTGCGGTTCTACAGTCGCTATCACTTACGTATTAGAGAACTGGAAGATTTTAGTATCTAATCGTCAAGCACTTGTGGATCAAATTTAGGGGCAGTCTGGTCATGCTCCTTTTGTAATTTTGTCCCTGTTTTTGTCCCAGCAGATTGCCAGAGTTGGCACCAGTACTGCTAGCTTCTGGTAAGGCAAATTTTTTCCCCTTCTTCAGGCATATGAGATGTGCTCTTGGCCTCCTCTACTACTTTTACTAGAAGAAAAAATGTCCTGTGTTCTTTGAAAAATATCTCCTCACCCAAAGAGAGGGAAGGAGGCTGGAGCAGCAATGAAACCAGCACAAGTCTGGAGCAGTTTGAGTTATGCTGGGTAGACACACAGTATACCAGCAGCGCAGTGAAAAAAAGCCTCCGTTGTAATGGCAAGTGGTCATTTAGGGCCCTGAGTTTACTTTTTCCCTATCATTGTATATACTACGGTTTCTCACAATTCACAGACTATTTAACAATTTTTACAAATGCTACAGAGTGTTTTTTAATTAAAACATATGCTACAGATCAATAGGTGTTTTTCTGAAGCATTGTGAACTATTAGTGGCAGCAAAATCCTAAAAATATGCACAGAAAGCCCTCTTTATATCTAAAACAAGTTATTTGGATATTCTGTACTTACTGCGCAAATACCTGGAGTTAAGACCATCCAGCACCATTTAATCAATGGCAGTGGTTTGTACCCAATCATATCTTCAATGTTATCATAAAAGCGATTGCTGCCTGCCCCAAAAAAACAAATGAAAAGCAGATGTAGAATATACATGTAAGAGGTTGTATAGGTCAGTATTTAAAACAGTAAAGAGAAAAACGTAGGTTCTGACAGGGCTGCAAAGACTGAAGCTGCTATTGCTTTCCCTGACACATACATCTCTCCATCATCTGCTCCATACCTGAGGCAGAGATTGCTGCCTACATCTGTGTCTGACCAGCATGAATTCACAGAGAGTAGGAGTGGGCGAGCTGTCAAACAAATGGCTTCTGGTCAGTAACAGTTTGAGCAAGCCCAGTTAAAAAGTATATATATGCTGCAAGCTCATGTGTGAACCCCTAGATAGCTGGGGACATGCATGATCTGAAGTTCATACGTTTCTTTACAAAGTAAAATTGTCAGTCTTTGGTGAGCAAAAAATGCTTAAGGGTATAACCATGAACATGCCCAGCACTGTGGTGGTTTTCTCTTGACTTTCCTGACAGACAGAAACAGCAGAGCTTGGGACACTACTCAGTCCCTTTTGTGTCAATGAGGCATGAACTCCAACTTCCCTGTATCAGAAGTGGAAGGGAACACGCCCTGGCACAGACAATTTTCAGCAACTCACCATAAACCCAGCCTATGCAGACACATTCAAATATGGCAACAAAAAGAAGGCACATGCCACTAGCTGCGTAAGAGTCAAATAACTGAAAGACGTACATCCCACCCTGAAAGACAAAACCAGAAAAATTAAAAAAAAATATTGTGTTGGCACCAGTAGGAATATTTCATAGCAAATATGGCTTTAATTACACAGTCAATCTGTTGGTTCCCTGGCAGTTTTCCTACTAAAGTTGGTTCCTTCTTGAACAAAGAATATTCCTTTCTCAGTGATTTGTTATTGTGGAAGATTTTTTTCTTCCATAGCATTTAACATTATTCCCTATGCCAGTTGAATACTGTGCATCTGCTTTAAGGTAGTAAATACTGGAGTGGAGAGAACTACATTTGTCTTGTTTCCAAGACGCTCTCCCACCTCTGTGCTTCTTTTCAACTTCATTTGTTATCACATCAAGCTGTAGATAACTACAGGTTCTTTTGACCCTGATCACTACAGATGAAGACGTATGGCCTTGGTTTTGTGTCTGTGCTACCGTGTAAAAGAATTAGTCAAAATGTGGGGAAAGAAGGAAAAATCTGTAGCTACTAGAACCAGTCTCCAATGGGATAGGGACTGTAAAATGAGTAAACTGACCTACAAAGTTTGAATGTAGCTCACAGCCTTTAAGCCACATTACTTAATGAGTCATTATTATTTGACCTCCCCCCCCCAAAAAAAAGTGAAGTAAGAATCACTCTGACTCCAAGCAAGCTTTTAAAAAATGTTTTCCTAACAAGTTAAAAATTGGTCTCCAAATGGCTTTGAAATAGCAACCTCTGCACTTCCAGGAAGGAGAGCAACCAAGCAGTGTCCTCAGTTAGCACGGCATCCCTACACAATCCACGCTATGCTAGCAATGATCTGTAATCTTCTGCATTCAGTGGTGCCACAATACCAACCAATATGAAAAAGGTAAATGTGCTTAACTAAGGCATCCTCACTTACTTGCTGTGTGACTATGACTGTTATATCAATTGCCACATCTATCAAAGACATAATTCTTCTTTCCCTGTATTTTTTCTCTCGCTTACAACAGTCAGAACTGTTCACAGAACTGGCTGGCTTTCTAGAACCTTTGCCTCAAGGCAAGATGAGAAGAAAACCTGTGAAGTCCAATTAATAACATTATAGATAACCTGACTATTAAAATTATATGCATAATATCACAGTACTTTCTATGCAAGATACTTAATCTTTTATCACATATGCGTTCAATATTGAAATAATAATGAGGAGGAGATTCACAAAAGATCATCTCAATAGAAAGGAATCCTAAGACTTCTCTCTTTGCAGAAAGCTATGTGAAGGAAATAGGGGCTTGAGAGAATTTCTTCAGTTGAAATGTAATGCTATTTGGGTAGTACATACGATCCATTACAGCTCAGACAATTTCCTGCAAATAGAGGAGAACCCAAAAAACATAAAGAAAACTAAATCAAAAACAATACCTAGGATTTCCCCCTTTTCTTTCTCTGCATTAACTATCTGAAAGTAAGCCAAAATGGACTCTGTAAACTTGAAAGCCTGTCTAAATCTTACGGAATGTAAGAATGTTCTCAAGTTATTGCATATAAAACGGCACTGACATCTATAGTTAGGAAATGACGACATATCTGAATCAGGAAGTTTTCCTATAAGGTAAAGTATCTTTTATGATTAATCCAAAGCCTGAACAGAATCCAGGAATGTGTATTCAGAAATGCAAGAAAGGATAAGGACAGAGTTGGGATATATAATTACCCTTGGAAGTCTCACTCATGCACAATGCTTTGATGCCTTACTGAAGTACCATGGAATGGAGCCTTCTCTACCAGAGTTTCTGCACTGGATCACAGCTACATAGATTGCTTACTTATTTATGTGTAAATAAGTCACATCTCTCAGTAATAAGTTATGTGTCTCTAGCGATATGAGAAAAAAGTGCTTCTCTGTCCTTTAAGGTTTCTGTTGAGCAAAAAGTGACAGTAAAAGCATCGTGGAATATCTGCCTTCCCAGACCAGAATGCAAATGTTGAAGTAATTTTTTTTTAATTGAATGAGATTTTTTTTTCTCCTAATGCAGATGCTCTTGATTATTAGCTACACTGCTTTTAATCAGCTCTGCCAGCTGACTGCTTCCCAAAATCTCACAAGTGAATATCTTTACTGCAAAGAGCTCACTGTGAGGTTCAGCAAATATCTGGGCAAATTGGAAGCCTGGAGATCAACCAAGACAATACAATACAGGGAACACAATTCTGCAAAACTCCTGTAAGAATATTCCTGGCATTGTTGAGAACTTGCTTCCTCTTCACTTTTCATGCTTTTATTTGTTTTAGCCTGTACATCTCTATAACGTACCTCTCAGTGCTCTGCTTAACACTTGCACTGTGCGAGGAATTATTCCAAAACGTCCACATTTTACATAGCAAAGACAATTGATCTTACTAAGGGCAACAATTATTACAGGCAAACTGGTCCCTATGAGGTTGCTCTGCCCTAATGCTCAACTTGTAGGGACACACATCTGGAAGGAATTCTTCACTAACCAGTGTCAATTCCTCTGCTCTTCACGGGGAACTACGTCGTCTAATACCTTTCACAAACTAATTGACAATCTGAATTGCAGTTTTAAGCCAGAACTATTTTCTTGGAAAAACTTGTAGAACCTTGCTGTTCTGATGGATAGAAATCCTTTCTTAATTTTCAGCTTAATTATTCATGGACAGCTTATACACCCTGGATTGGGGATGAGGGCAAGCGTGCCATTCTTTTTGCTGAAATAGTTCATGTTTATACTCACTGTTATATCTATGACGTACTTAAAGAAAGTGATCATACACCCTTGCTAATATTATCATAATTTTGCTGGTTTCTGGTAAAATCAGCTCTGTACTCCTAGGATCATCCCCACTGCTCTTGCTCCTCATGCTGTTCCAGTCTGAATACGAGTATCCAGAGTCATACATAGTGTTTCAGTGAGACTGTTACCATCTTGTCCAGTCGTGGGACTATTCCCATCTCTCAATTGAAAATACCTTCCTGACACATCTAAGAAACATTGGTTTATGTCTACAGCATCTCTGTAGTGCTTAGTTTCCCATCCAGATACTTCTCTTTCCCAGTCATTTTCAATGCCTAATAGAAATGTGTACTGCTATATGGACAACCTTATACCTTGTGCTACTGTAGTCTACCCCATCCTTAACACTCCAGTCATCCAGTCCTTCCCTATCATTATGCTTTCTTCTGTGACCCAGGAACATCAGAGTTAATGAAGCCTGATTTGGACTTAATCTTATAGATGACTGTGAGCCCCTATACTTCATGCACTCATTAGGCTATGGCTTTTTTGTGAATTCTCTGTTTTTTAATAAAGACTAAAGTCATGCTTTGTTCTTTTGAACAATAAGGACACTTCCAGGGCTTCTCTATCTGGCTGCCAACTTTCATGAACGTTATTGAACAATAAGGAAAATGACTTATCTTGGAAACTTCTGTTAAATTGACTGCAATCTGCCAATAGGTTCAAAATTTAAAATGAAGAAGGAATACATCACCAGACAGATAGTTTCATGTAACCAATGACTGCATGTGACTTGTTTCCATAGCAAGTCAACTACAGATACTAGATAAAATTGCTACCAAGAGCTCTCTGTGTAACTTCATTAAGAATCTCATTTCAGCCACTGTCTCTTTTAACACCAACATTCACTGTCTCCTCTTTGTCCAGCTACTTGTACCAGTCCTTCTATTTTGAGTAAAATTAATAATTTTTCTTGTGGTGAATTTTCAGTTCCTTCACTGAAGTATATAAAACTTCTGCTCAACTGGATTTGCAAATGTCTTATCAGAGAAAGAGATCTGATTAGTCTGGCAGAAAATGTTACTAAAAAAATAATGAAAGTGTCATTTTGTTCTAGTCTCCGCTTTCCTCCACAACTTGAGTTATTCTTTCTCTGAAAGTGTATCTGAAACTAATATATTCTGATTTGTTGATTTATTCTATTTGTTGTAAAAACTTGCATAGTGAGGACAACAAACTAATATGCTTACAATTGCCTAACACCTTTTTTGTGATGAAATCTGCTCATTTTCAGTAAGAAAGCAATTTGAAAAGCACATAGTCTAAGGACTGTGGATTTCCGTAGAGGGAATTTAAGTGACCCCAGATGAGTTCATGAAGCCCTGAGAGGCTGCTTCACTGGGAAACCCTACCGGCGATTGCTGCACAACAGAGACACATTGTGGCCCTTCACGGTTAATACAGCCGGCGTCATCAGACAAACATTCCTCAGACATTTAATGCTAGAGCTCCTCATAGAATCATAGAAGAGTTTGGGTTGGAAGGGACCTTTACAGGCCATCTAGTCCAAGCCCCTGCAGTGAGCAGGGACATCTTCAACTAGAGCAGGTTGCTCAGAGCCCCGTCCAACGTGAACTGGAATGTTTCCAGCGATCTACCACCTCTTTGGGCAACCTGGGACAGTACTTCACCACCCTCATGGTGAAAAATTTCTTCCTTATATCTAATCTGCCCTCTTTTAGTTTAAAACCATCACCCCTTGTCCTATCGCAACAGGCCCTGCTAAAAAGTCTGTCCCCATCTTTCTTCTAAGCCCCCTTCCAGTCCTGGCAGCTGCAATAAGGTCTCCCCAGAGCCTTCTCTTCTCCAGGCTGAACAACCCCAGCTCTCTCAGCCTGTCCTCCCAGCAGAGCTGTTCCAGCCCTCTGGGCATTTTTGTAGCCTCCTCTGGCCCCGCTCCAGCAGGTCCATGTCTGTCCTGTGCTGAGGGCTCCAGATGGGGTCTCACCAGAGCAGAGCAGAGAGGCACAATCCCCTCCCTTGCCCTGCTGGCCACGCTGCTTCCAATGCAGCCCAGGGATACGGTTGGGCTTCTGGGCTCCTCAACCATGAAACTTTTTTATTTGCCTCGCTCCCTGGGACAGGGAGGCTCTAACGGCTCAGCAAGCAGAAGAGTGTGGGCAGAGAAGAGTGTGGACTATGGCTCTCTCCTTCCTGTCTTGGGAGGGTAAAGTGAAGGAGAGGAAGACTCTTGACACAACTCACTCTGTAAAGTAAGCACTGAGCACCAAGACTAACCTCCTACCAAGTACCAAAGGACCCCAGAGTCCCTCCCCAACCTGGGTACCAAACACAGTAGTGCCAGATGTGTTGTATCACGAACTGATGGGATGGACTGACACCATGATCAGAAATTGGCTGTATTAATTGACCTGGCCTGGTGATATAAAAATCAAAGACATTTTAGTTTTCTATTTTCACTTTACTTCATCTACTTTATTGATCTATTCATCCACAATGTAGTTGTTTCCAGACTGGTCTGCCCAGAATAAATAAGCAGAAACCATGATCAGTATGTCTGGCTGGCTGGTGCAAAGCAGATGTAATTTCCTTGGCTATGTAACTTGGATTAAAATATTTCCTAAGCTCAGCTGAAAATCTGAGAATACATTTCACATTTCAAATGTTACACAGTAGTTGAGAACAGTCTCTCAAGTGTTTTGTAGTCATATTCCTCACATTGACATTTGTCTATGGCAAATATTCTTGCATTTTATCCATTATGATTATAAACAGAAACCCATTTCCTTTTTTCTGCAGTAGTACGACAAAGCACATCTTACCTCAGTTAACATTATTAGGCCAATGAAGTATGACACAATGGAAAGGCCGAGAATCAACAGCTCTCTTCTGTAGCCCCTTCGGAAGATCTTTGGGTACATATCTACAACAGCTGTCACAATGCTTTCGACACACACAAACTAGAACAAATGATAGGAAAGTACAAATGAGATGTGTCTCTTCTGCTGTTGGGATTTGGATTTGCTACCAAACGCTTCAAATATCCTTAGGTGTTCTCATCATAGAAACTGAATGATCCCTGAGGACACTCTATAAGCAGAAGCTCAAATTGAGAGGAACATTATTTCAGAATTAAAAAGTCCAAAGCTATGGATTTCCAGTCCACCACCAGATTCAAATAGTTGGATCCACTGATTGCCTCAGAATGTAGTTGCCCTGTAGCAGATGGATTACATAAAAGTTAAATCTTTCAAATGTGGCTTGAATGGGACATAAATAATGTACAAACCGTACATAGGACTGTAGTAGAATTTCACTCCAAGCATCCTACACTTTTGTCTCTCAAAGGAATGCTGTGCAGTGCTGTGCACCTTCAAGCCCTGCTAAATAAACTGCAACAGGTTTTTGTAGAAGTTCTCTCATTTTACAGAAGAGAGAAGTTCCACCAAGCTATTAGCTGCCCAAGCCAAGTACATCTAATGAGGGAGGGAAGGAACTTTCTTATTAACTTCAAAAATCAGCAGAAAGCAAGAGGCCCGAGCTTCCGACTCAGGGCTCTGGAGAAAAGTTTCTAAAATAGGCACTAAAATTAATGCCCAAAAGTAGACAATGTAAAGCCTGCTTCATTGGAACATCAACAATAGAATGCAGAAACTGCTTGTTTTAAAAAAGACTTTAAAAAAAAATTGTTAGATCAGGAAAAGGAGAAGTTATTAAAGCCTTAAGTTTAATGATAGGAAATGTCATGCAAAATAAACACTGACGAGCTTTGTTCTACAGTATACAATCACAAACCTTCTGAACCAAATCATGCCAAAAGCTGAGCTGCATGCTAAAAATGCCAGCTACTTTACATTTTTCATCCAACAGCTTTCACAATTTTTATGGTCACACAGGAAGGACAACTTCTGTGCTGTCACTTTGCTGCAGAATATGACTACACATTTCTTGCTATGGCGTCTTGAAGAATAAATACAGCACAGGAACTTACATTATCACTATCTAATATTCAGCTTAAAAAATTCATTGCAAAGTGCTTTAAAAACAGGAAAAGAAGACACACTGGTATTTTACTGAACTGTGAATTTTAATCACCCGTATTTAAGTTCTGGTTTCTCTGTTAATAATGAAAGCTACAGTCAGGCTGAAGCAGCGTTCACAGTAAATAATAAAGGAATCTCCAGCATCACATAACTAAGATTTAAAATAAGGAACTTAAATCAATGGTTTTAAGCAAGGAATTAAGTTAGGGTTCATTCTTTCATCAGGTTAGATGCTGCCTACATCAAGGATGCTGATATACACATGCTACGGAATCTGATAACATCTTTAAATAGTGTTTGTTTCATACCTGACTATCTAATCCAAGGAATATGAGCATCATGAAGAACAGAGTTGCCCACAGAGGAGAAAGAGGCATCATGGTAACAGCTTTAGGGTAAGCAATGAATGCAAGTCCTGGTCCTGAAAAGGAAGAAAAGAAAGGAAATATTTATACTTGTGTACTGGGTCTGTCTGAGGTGGAGTTAACTTTCTTCATAACAGCCTGTATGGTGCTGTGTTTTGGATCTGTGGATTGAGCAGCATTGCTAACACCAACATCGTGGCTGTTGCTGAACACTGCTTCCACAGCATCACTCATTAAACTATCTGGACCCACGAGTTTTCTCACGTCTTCTCTTCCTGTTCGCTTCCCCATCCCACGGGGGTGGGTGAGTGAGTGAAAGCAGTGTGGATGCTTAGCTGCTGGCGAGGGTCAATCCACCACAACTTGATTGCTCTTTTATGGCAGATAAGAGGAGCTAAATACAAGGTTGAAAACCTTGACAAACTCTACATCTCTAATAGTCTAAATATTTGGCGATGAGGCTAATCAGTGATTAAGACTTGCTTGGCACATCAATTCTGCCTACAACCTGTCCAAATGTTTGAAGGTCAAGACTTCTGTTAAGGCATCACTGTACTTTATGTTCTCCTTCATCCTTTGTGTGGATGTACAGCAAGACTCCCATACCTGAATAAATAGTAGCATGTGGTCCTGTGATTGTCTTACATAACTTACTAAGATATTCTGGAATCTTTTTTTTTTTCTTAAGACAGCACTGTATCTGACATTTTGTGCAAGAATGAAGTCAGTGGTTAAGAGCTGCATCTTGGAAGCCATACCTGGTGCAAGCCAAGTGTCTACTGGTTTGTTCAAGATCTGCTCTGCATTTCTGAGTGCTGCTGCTGGTACATAATATTAATTCATTGGCTGCATATTTACAGAAATCTTTAAAATAGAACACACTTGCAACAGCATTAGTAACTTCTCAGATCTGCTAAAGTACCATCTCACCCAGTTCATATTTTCCTGTTCTTATTTACCTGTGCCCATTTTTCAGTTGCTGCAAACTCTCATGCTATAACAGCTTTTTCTGAAGTTAGCCAGCTTTTAGATCAGGGATATAAAGGCAGTATCACAAGGCTGATAAAGGAGTACTTCTGTGCTCCTGCTGCAATAACTTCAGTGAAGACCTGTCAACACACTACTGCTTTTTCGTTTAACACGGTGTTTACAAGCTCCTATAGCTTCCAGAGTTGCTATAGTCTTATTAATGTTTTTCCACATAGTTTCGATAATAGTATAAGCCAGTTGTCATGAGGGCTTTAGGAAAAGAGAAATATTTTCCACGACAGTATCCGTGAAGCTGTACTTGCTTTGCAGTTTTCCTGCTAACCTTGGCTAACTTCATGACAGTCATTTCTCCTTCTCAGCAGTTCAGCATTACACTGCTTTTCTTTCCGGCCAGCTCTCCTGTTCTTTCTGTTCTGTTGAGTTTTAAGTGATGCTTAAAGATGTTACATCCACAAAGGTGTTAAAGAGCAATTAACTTTCATTGGATGCCTAACTCCAAGTGATGGTAATGAACATTAGAAGGTTAATTTCTCGTAAAGCTGGGCTTTTGTGCCTTTCTGGACTCAAAACAAGAACTATTATACTTAACCAACCAGAGCGTCTCAGCCTATGTCCCTAGGAGAAAAACTTACTGACATTAGGAGAGGGCATTAGCCGCCTGACAGTTAGAAATCTGTGTTTGGATAGTAAACATTACGCAAGAATTCAGAGGACTTCCAAAGATTTCTCCTAAACAGCTGGTTTCTCATTACTTTAATAGCTATATCTTTTTTCTTTTTCTTTTTTTTTTTTTTCCCTCGGAAGAAATGTTTGTGTGGATTTTGGTCTGTCTCACTTAAAGAAAACTGAACGCTCCTTTCAGTGAGGATGTAACACTCAAGGGGCATAACTGAGCGATGTTTCTCTGCTATACAATCTTCTGTATGCTCAGCTGGAGTAAGTTTGCATTACAATAGCTCCTTGACTTTATGAATTTGGTGCTATGCACAATAACATTAATATTTTTCACACATAAATGTATGACCATAAAAATAGTTGAGAAGTCTTCTTATAGCAGTTATTCTAATCAGTCAGGTAACAGGTTTATAAGATGAGTTTTGTAAAACTATCTGCAAAATAGTCAATTTATCTATAAGATATTGGCACAGATGAAGTATTCTGACAGCAACTTCTGGGCATTTTTTGTTAACTCGGAAAACTGCTTTTGGAACTTACCTGATTCTGCAACTTCTGCAATGGGCACGCCTTGCTCATAAGCCATAAATCCAAGAACTGAAAAGATAGCAAAACCAGCAACAAAGCTTGTGCCACTGTTCAAGCAGCAGAGCATGATGCAGTCTCTGAAAATATAAATAAAAAACACTGCAGTTGATTTCCAGAGCCTGGGTTTCTTTCATATTCTGAGCCATAGGACTAACAGAACCCCAAGCTGCAGGAACAGACATTAAATTGCTCATTAAGAGTAAGGTCCCAAACTGATATTAAGTCTGAGAGAAATCAGTCAGGCATAAGCGTTTTCAGGAAGATACCATCAGAATACCCTCACTTGTGTTTTAACTGCTTGAATTGCAAACCTGTTGCTACTCGCTTACTGTTTTTCGATAGAATCTTTAAAAAAACCTGTAAAAATAACTGTGAGAATGGTGTTAAGAACAATTTTTCTACAGTAGTTGCAATAATGTATTCCAGAGGATACGAACTCATTTATATACTATATAAAAATGGTAGTAAATTGTTTCCTGGAAAAAAATCCTATGGTCAGATCTCAGCAGATCCTATTCAAGTTACAGTATATTAGCAATATATAGCCGTACAAAATACACCTCCAGATGGGTTTATAAACTTCTTTTAAGAAGCCCTGGTAATGAAAAGCACCATACATAATCTAGGAAGCGTGTATATGCCTAAAAAAGTGCCTAACAGGCAGGCAAAGACAGTGCAGAGACTCTCAGACCTATGTATCCTACACATCAAACAACGGCAATTACAAGACCAAGGTGAAGAAATATTTCTTTTCCCAGACTGCAAATGCCACAATAGTAAATCACTTTAAAAAGGGAAAATACTCATGCAGAAAGGTGTGAGCTTTCCCCAGAGCTCAGTGAAACATGGTTGTTCATCCTGCTTTCAGACAGCACTTCAGGCTTGACAGATGATGAGGTAGGAATGATTTGTCATGACAGTCAGTCCTTTAAGACTGTTTGCTACAAGAGACAGCTGTGTTCTTGAAAAAGTAACAGTCTAACCTGGATGCCTGAAAGTAAATTAGGATTCTAAACCACTAAAGCACAAGGCAAGCCTGTAGCTCGCTCAAGCCTATACCTTAGTCTGGCTTATTCCCATCCTACCACAGCTCTGAAGCAAACTTTTGTGCAACCAATCTATGAGAAGAAATGACCCTGTAAAATCTAACAAGTTCTGAACCCACACCTTCAGTAATGATTCCCACCTTTGTCACAGATTTGTAGTGACTTTTTGAGAATCAGAGACAATTCATATTTTTGAAGTCCTGGCATATATCCCAGCAAAACTTCTTTGGTAATCTCTCTGTCCTGTTGCTTGTTTCATTTGGTATTTTTATCCTATAACTTTATCTCCTCAGTTTATTAAGTTGAAAGTGAGGTGACCAGTTCCAGCACCTTATTCCTTCACTATGAGCCCTGTGCTGCATCCCACATCTGTTCCAAGCTCTTCCTGTTGCTGACTTTGACTCACCTTAGCATCAGGCATATACATTCCCAACAGCAGGAAGCAGGCATACATTTCAGTACCGCAGAGTGATCAGCTGAAATACAGCCACTGGGCCGTGGGAGGCTTTGGCTCTCTCTCATCACCTTATCTACAGTTAATTTTAACCATTATTTTGAGGATGTTTTTATGTTTTCACAATCATTTCATAGTAAAAAATTTCTATATGGCATATCATCTATAAATTGACAAAATTTATCCAGAAATTAAAAAAGAATGAATACTCTCATTTGTAGATCAAGGCTTGGACATGGACACATCCGGTGATGTTCATGCTTCTTTCATGCATGGACCTGAACATGAGCCGGCAGTGTGCCCAGGTGGCCAAGAAGGCCAACAGCGTCCTGGCCTGTATCAGGAATAGTGTGGCCAGCAGGAGTAGGGAAGTGATTGTGCCCCTGTACTCGGCACTGCTGAGGCCGCACCTTGAATCCTGTGTTCAGTTTTGGGCCCCTCACTACAAGAAGGACATTAAGGTGCTGGAGCGTGTCCAGAGAAGGGCAACGAAGCTGGTGAGGGGTCTGGAGCACAAGTCTGATGAGGAGCAGCTGAGGGAACTGGGCGTGTTCAGTCTGGAGGAGGCTGAGGGGAGCCCCCATCGTGCTCTACAACTACCTGAAAGGGGGGTGTGGCGACGAGGGTGTTGGCCTCTTCTCCCAAGTAACTAGTGATAGGACAAGAGGAAATGGCCTCAAGTTGCGCCAGGAAAGGTTTAGACTGGGCATTAGTAAAAATTAGTAAATTTCTAGTTTAGACTAGAAATTAGTAAAAATACTGAGAGAGTGGTCAAACGTTGGAACAGGCTGCCCAGGGAGGTGGTGGAGTCGCCATCACTGGAGGTGTTCAAAAAATGTGTGGATGTGGCACTTTGGGACATGGTTTAGGGAGCATGGTGGAGTTGGGTTGATGGTTGGACTTGATCTTAAAGGTCTTTTCCAACCTTAATGATTCTGTGACTTGCTCTAATACTGTTCATTAGCAGGGGTAAATGGATCCTTTAACATACTTTCTGAAAATTCTGAAAATGATCATAATTCTAACCTGTTATTTATTTGCTTTTCATATGAAATTCCTTCCTGTAGTCACACACAACCAGGCTAGTGATACACTTTAATAAAGTTTTACATGTTTTAAAGCAAAACAGCAATCTAAAAGAAAGCAAACAGGAGCATGGAGTTCTTTGTGCTTTGCAGAGAAATAAAACAAAGGAAAAGATCATCTTCCTAACCATTCTTCTCAGTGTATTTCAGCACTGAAGTAGCTCTGAAGAGATTCTCACCCCAGCCTCTCTCACATAAGAAACTGGTGAGTTCAATGCTGAGAAATTAAAACTAAGTTTGATGAAACTCTGTCAATAAGACAGGTCAGAAAGATGTATTTTTTAATCCTTTGGGGGGAAAAAAAAAAAGAGATATTACTTCAGTGGGATGGATCTGACTGCTCACCAGTCATACGATGCCTCCATTTGGAACAGCCTGCTTTCTGCAGATAAGATTTATTTTAGATAATTCCCAGGCTTCAAATGCAGTCCAAACAACAAGATTATTTTTTTTTCTGGTGAATGGTGTGGCACAGGACATTTGAGAGCTGCTGGTTCCTAACCATGCAAAAAAGGGTTGAGGCGGAGACACATTGCTCCCTGCGCACCTTCAGAGCCCCTGGCAGTTTCTGCTGCTGCCTCTTGAAGGAAGGTCCTGGGGCAAGACCCAAGTGGACAATCCTATGTAACTAGATCATCTGTGAGAGAACAAGAAGAGCACAGACATTTCTCCACTCGCAGGGAAGACCCACAAACCACAGTGCCATGGTACGAAATAGTTATGCATTTTCCAGGGAAATGGGCAAAAGTGAACCTAAGGGGATTTTCATCATCTCCAGTTCATGAGGTACCTATTCTTTTGACAGAACACAGCCACAGTGCCATCATTTTCGTCCCCAGTTAGACAGTCACAGGCTGAACACTCAGTTCTCCGGGAACCTAGCAGTGTTTCCTGTCCTAATAAAAATATAACCTCCGATTTTAATTTTCATCCTTCCCTTATCTTTGCAGGAATTCTACTAACCCCTCCAGTCCTGTTGTTTTTTTTTTGCCTTAGAAGTGTGTAACCTGTAGTTCAGTCCTTTCTTCTGCTACAGGAAGTAAAACTGAGATGGGGATCTGGCTCCACTGATTGTGAAACCAATGAATTTTAAAACACAAATGCCCAAGAACCATTGAAAGGAGAACATGAAGTTTATCTAATTTTCCATGAATTTTTAATAAGCATCCTTGGTAGGAAGGTATCAGAGCCTGACTGAAGCCCAAACTGATTTCAAGTGAAAGGAAAACTTCAAATTTTTATGAAAACTTCACATTCTTCCAAATTAATGTCTTGCCAATCACCTGAATAATTCAAGACATGCATCTCTCATCTTCTCCCTGACTGACAGGCAGGATACTGCTGAAAATTGATTCTGCCTTCCTTAAGGACCTTCTCTGATAAGAGAAGAGCCCACAGAGCCTTTTGCATCCCTCCAGTTACTTTCTTGCCTTTATGGATCCCCTCAAGACCAATTCTCATTCCTCTTTCCCGGTTATACTAGAAGTGTGATCAAG